TTTGTTGTGGTCCACACAGTCAAAGGCTTTTGCATAGTCAATGAAGCAGAAGTAGATGTTTTTCTGGAACTCTCTGGCTTTCTCCATAATCCAGCGCAAGTTAGCAATTTGAGAAGTTAGTAACTGAGCGACAATTTTATTCTCTCCCCTCAGAGCAAACAGATTTAACACTCAGGCTTAGCATAACCTCTAATTTTCAGCCCCATTGGGCAGCGCTCTGCCTCTTGCATGCATGACGTCTATCCTGTGTGCATGCACAACTCGCAACTCCACCCCCTGCGCATGGGGTTCCATCGCAACCAGAACCAAAGGGGCTGCACAGAGGAGGAAGAAAGCTGCATGGAAAGAGGTGGAGTCACACACATGCACACAGCTGTGCACCTTAGAGGATCCTTGCTCAGGCTAAAAGCTTGAGAAACTGAACTCACTTCCTCTCCAACTGATAAACATCAGAACAGATAAGTCTGGTGAAATGTGTTATCAGACAAACAAAATTATGACTCTTTTAAATAGTAAAGGGGCTTATTTCACAACTGAAAGGCATAGAGAAACCAACCATTCTGGCCAGCATACAGGATTGTATCCAAATAATGTAACACCTTCTATACTTACTGTACTTATATTGCATATTTTAAGGAAACCTAATCAACCCAGTGACAGATTTTACTTTCTTGGGCTCCATGATCACTGCAGATGGTGACAGCACCCACTAAGTTAAAAGACGCCTGCTTCTGGGGAGGAAAGCAATGGCAAACCTAGACAGTATCTTAAAAAGCAGAGCCATCACCTTGCCGACAAAGGTCCCCATAGTCAAAGCTATGGTTTTTCCAGTAGCAATGTATGGAAGGAGAGAGCTGAACCATAAAGAGGGCTGACCGCCGAAGAATTGATGCTTTTGAATTGTGGTGCTGGAGGAGACTCTTGAGAGTACCCTGGACTGCAAGGAGAACAAACCTATCCATTCTGAAGGAAATCAACCCTGAGTGCTCATTGGAAGGACAGATCCTGAAGCTGAGGGTCCAATACTTTGGCCATCTCATGAGAAGAGAAGTCTCCTTGGAAAAGATATTGATGTTAGGAAAGTGTGATGGCAAGAGAAGGGGACGACAGAGGACGAGATGGTTGGACAGGGTCACCGAAGCGACCAACATGAATTTGACCCAACTCTGAGAGGCAGTGGAGGACAGGAGGGCCTGGCGTGCTCTGGTCCATGTTGTCCCGAGGAGTCAGACACAACTAAACAACAACAAATAACCCAGTTGACTGCACTTCCCAAGCCTCTAAAACATGTCAGAGGACGAGATGGTTGGACAGGGTCACCGAAGCGACCAACATGAATTTGACCCAACTCTGAGAGGCAGTGGAGGACAGGAGGGCCTGGCGTGCTCTGGTCCATGGGGTCCCGAGGAGTCAGACACGACTAAACAACAACAAATAACCCAGTTGCCTGCACTTCCCAAGCCTCTAAAACATGTCATGTTAGCTATAGTGCAAGGTTCCCTCTAAGGTGTGCATCTGCGCACGCATGGCTCTGTTCCCCTCTACGCAGTGTTCCTCCTCCTCCACGCACCCACAGTGATCATTTTCAGCCCCTTTGGTTCTGGTTAGGACCAAATCCCGCATAGGGGGTGGAGTCATCCCAGTTGCCTGCACTTCCCAAGCCTCTAAAACATGTCATGTTAGCTATAGTGCAAGGTTCCCTCTAAGGTGTGCATCTGCGCACGCATGGCTCTGTTCCCCTCTACGCAGTGTTCCTCCTCCTCCACGCACCCACAGTGATCATTTTCAGCCCCTTTGGTTCTGGTTAGGACCAAATCCCGCATAGGGGGTGGAGTCATGGGAGGCAGAGCCCTGCCCAGCAAGCTGAAAATTAGAGGAAAAGTTGCTGAAGTGTATGGTAATTGTACTTCAAAACTTGCCAAGGGCATTAGGTCATTAATACAACAAAATATTTGTTCATATAATAAATCTTCACATCAACATATACTGCAGGAGTGGGAGAACAGTAAACCTGCTGTCTGCCTCTGTTCTGTAAAGATAGCAACTTCAGTAAAACACCAAACACTGCTGTGAGAGTGTGAAGGAGTAAAGAGGAGTGCGCCGTCCTCCGTGGAAAGACATACAGTAGAAGAGGCGGAATGCGCTGTGGGGGTGTTAATTGACATTGATCAAACAGAAGTGATAACTGAGAAACCGACGGAGGTGTGTCTTGTGGAGGAAGGAGGGGAGGAGCTAGATTTGATAGTCTGGGAGGAGATAAAAGAGGGGGGAAATGCATGGACTTTTAGAATTTGTACAGACATAAATCCAGAAAGGAGCAAGAGCCAAGGGCTTCAGACGGAACCCATGCTTGGGTTCGAGACTCCAGTTGGAATCGCGGCAGGCTTCCCTAATTTGGCTCCCGGAGGAGTATTCCTACCTGATCCGTACTTCCCTAGAGGGCCAGGAATGTTCTATGAGCCCTTAGAATGGACGGTAACGGTGCATCCGCGAAACTACCCTGGTGGGAGGAGGGTAATACGCCCTGGACCCGAGTTTCAGAAGAAGCCCCCGGAGGGAGATTGGGCGAGGCCCCCTTGTTGCGGAACGGTCTGTGCCGTCCAGAGTGCCCCCCTCCGCCCAATGACCGATCGCGAGAAATTCGGACCGGCCCCTTATTAGGTGACCAAGAAATGCCTCCTGTTATACGTTCAAAGAGATATCATTTCTTGGATGACTGTATGTTGCAGGATCCATTTGATCCAAGAGAATTAAGTTCTATAAACAATAAAACTTCTAATGTTGGATTTTATGATGAGCCTCCGTGTCTCTTTCTCACCTTCACCACCAGTCCCCTCCCCCCGGTTAGAGAAGAACTTCCTTACAGAGAGATATATAAAATGTTAATGGTTGGGGAAAACTAAATATTTTTTATTCTAATAAATTTAAGAGGCACGTCATCAATATGTAACAAAATGTGATTTGTCGTCCATTCCTATTGGTCATGTGTGTTAACTGCCTCTTTTGTATGCCTACTACTGCATATTAAACATTTCTCCACAACTTAAAGAACAATACAAAACAAAAGGGGAACTAAAATTAACAGTCTTAGTAAGATTCAACAGACCACAACAAAGCTGCCTGAGAGCCACATGCAATGTACAAGATACACAATAACCAGAATCCTGTTGTTTTTTAGCACATGAAGGCATACTATAGTAGGCCCATTGAATCAGTGGGAATCTGATGAGTCAACTCTTCTGTAAGTTCCATTTCAGCTAATATGCTCCTGCAGACTTGCTGCATAGCTCATTTGTAAAAGCAACTAAATTTAACTATTCCTGACCCCTCTTTAAAAACCACAAAATTTTGCAAATATGGCAGTCATTTGGATATTAACACAATACATCTTTGAGACAATCCATGCTGAATTTGACAAGAATATTTCATTTTACTTATACCAAAAGCTTGGTGAAATGAACATGTAAAAATGTATGTCTCTGGAGAAATATCAGAAATATGTTTAGGAGTATATAAACATACCCTCATTTTAAAAAAGAGATAGCGAAGCTGGCATTTCTTAGGATCCACTCATCCATATAAAAAGACTGCAGATAACCTACCATTACTTTTCCTTAAAGGCATATATACAGCATTACTAATACTGACTTTAAAGGGTACTGTTTAAAACCTTGAATACAGTACAGTAATGCCTCGCTTAGCGATGTTAATCGGTGCAGCAAAAATCGCTGCTAACCGAAAACATTGCTAAGCGATCTTAAAAAGCCCGTAGAAACGCATTAAAACCTGTTTAATGCGTTCCTATGGGCTTAAAACTCACCTTAAAGGGAAGATCCTCCTTATGGCAGCCATTTTCGCTGCCTCTTAAGCGAGGAATCAGTCCCTAAACACAGCAGGTGGCCATTTTTTTTACCCGGCGGCCATTTTGGAACCGCCGATCAGCTGTTAAAAAATCATTGCTTTGCGATGATCGGTAAGCGAAACAGAATACTGATCATCGCAAAGCGATTTTATTTATTTATTTATTTATTTGTTTGTTTGTTTGTTTGATTGATTTATATCCCGCCCATCTGGTATAATTATACCACTCTGAGCGGCTTTTTCCCCATAGGGAACATCGCAAAGCGATCGCAAAAACTTTATCGGTATGCGGTTTCGTCGCTAAACGGAGCGCCCGTTAAGCGAGGCATCACTGTATCTTTAATTGATGGTGCACAGCCATTTTAATACTGTGGAACTCGTATAAAAAAGATCACAGAAAAATATAATCCCAACTGATCAAGATATAGATTTAAACAGTTAAGAAAATATACTTCAGATCACCTTTAAACGTATCTGTTACCTGGTCATATTCGAGGGCTCCTGGATATAATGGCCACCCAAGGAATAGTTCAGCAATCACACAGCCTAGTGACCACATGTCTATGGCTTCACAAAACGGCAAACCCAATATGATTTCTGGTGCTCTGCAAACAGAAGCAGTATGTTAACAGACAGTATAAAACAGTGATCTGATTAATGATTAACATTTTTTTAAATGTCAGATAATCATTTTAAGAGAATCTGTTTATTTTGTTCTCTTCTCATGCTACTTAATGTAACCTACCTTTTTCATTCAAAATTCTTCCTCCCCTAAGTAGGCAGGCCATGTCTAACAGGACACTAAGAAATACCATTTGTGCGACAGACTACATTCTTCCCATCCCCAAAGCCCTGTGTGCTGCTTGAAAATATGCTTGAGGCTATCCCAAATTTCAAAATTGATTTGGGGAGCACACAGATATGCATGGGAAGGTTGATTACCACCTTTCTTGTTACGTGAACAGAAGCAGTTGTTCCATTAATAGAGCCATCCTACTGGATTTCAACTTGTGTTTAATTCATAACATAAGAACCTAAGAAGAGTCCTGCTGGATCAGGCCAAGGGCCCATCTTGTCCAGCGCCCTGTATCTCACAGTGGCCCCACCAGATGCCTCTGGGAGCACACAAGACAACTAGATACCTGTCTCCTGATACCCCTCCCCTACATCTGGCATTTGGAGGTACCTTCCTTTTAAGCCTGGAGATTATACATCCCCATCTTGGCTTGTAACCTCCAGAAGTTTGTCCAATTCCCTTTTAAAGGCATCCAGGCCAGATGCCATCACCACATCCTGTGGCAAGGAGTTCCACAGACGAACAACATGCTGGGTAAGAAATAGTTCGTTTTGTCTGTTCTCACTCTCCCAACACTCAATTTGAGTGCATGTCCCCTAGCTCTAGTATTGTGTGAGAGGGAAAAGAGCTTCCCTCTATCCACTTTATCCATCCTGTGCATATTTGATTGTCCCCCCTCAGGTACCTTTTCTCTAGTCTGAAGAGCCCCAAACACTGTAGCCTTTCCTCATAAGGGAGGGGCCACAGCCCAGTCCAGTCATCATTTTAGTCCCTCTCTTCTACATCTTTTCCAGTTCCACTATGTCTTTTTTGAGGTGCTGTGACCAGAACTGTACGCAATACTCTAGGTGCGGCCTTACCAGCGTTTTGTACAATGGCATTATAATGTTGGCTGTTTTATTTTCAATCCCCTTTTTAATAATATCTAGCATGGAATTGACCTTCACTGTCGCAGCAGACTGGGTTGACACTTTCATCCAGCTGTCCACTAGCACACGAAGATCTTTTTCCTGATCCATCACGGCACAGACACCTCAGAACCCATCAGCTGATAAATAAATGTGCATTACTTTACATTTTCTTATACTGAAAGGCATTTGCCATTTTGCCGCCCATTTCCCCAGTTTGGAGAGATCCTTCTGGAGCTCTTCACAATCCCTTCTGTTCTTCACCATCTAGAAAAGTTTTGTGTCATCTGCAAACCTCACTGCTTATCCCTGTCTCCATGTCGTTTACAAACAGGTTGAAAACCACCAGTCCCAAGACAGATCCCTGGGGCACACCGCTTTTCACCTCTCTCCACGGTGAAAATAGTTTCCTGGCTCTCGATCAATTCTTAATCCATAAGAGAACCTGCCCTTTTATCCCCTGACTGTGGAGTTTTCTCAGCAGACTTTGGTGAGGGACTGTGTCAAACGCCTTCTGAAAATCCAGATAGAGAATATTCACTGGTTCACCCACATCCACGCCTGTTGACCTTTTCAAAGAATTCTAAAAGGTTTGTTTGGCAAGACTTACCCTTACAGAAGCCATGCTGATTTTCCCTCAGCAAGGCTTGTTCTTCTATGTGTTTTAAGTCTTTATCTTGGATAAGGCTCTCTACCATCTTCCCTGGAAGAGATGTTAGGCTAAACAGCCTACAATTTCCCAAGTCCCCTCTCCTTTCCTTTTTAAAATATTGGCATGACATGTGCAATCTTCCAGTTCTCTGGCACTGTGGCCGTTTTAAGAGACAAGTTGTATATTTTAGTTAAGACATCAGCAACCATTCCCCAGTTCCTTAATAACCCTTGGGTTGATGCCATCTGGGCTTGGTGACTTATTGATCTTCAGTTTATCAATTAGTTTAAAATATCATCTCTTTTAACCTGTACCTGATTTAATTCATTAGTCACAAGGGGCCGTTTGGGCAGCGGAATCTGCCCAAAGTCGTCTGTTGTGAAGACAGATGCAAAGAACTCATTTAATTTATCTGCAATCACCAAGGCCCCTTTTACAACATCTAGAGCAGTGGTTCTTAACCTTTGTTACTCGGATGTTTTTGAACTGCAACTCCCAGAAACCCCAGCCAGCACAGTTGGTGGGAGTTGCAGTCCAAAACTCCTGAGTAACCCAAGGTTAAGAACCAGTGATCTAGAGCAGTGGTCTCCAATCTTGGGCCTCCAGATGTTCTTGGACTGCAACTCCCAGAAGCCTTCAACACCACCTCTGCTGGACAGGGTTTCTGGGAGTTGAAGTCCAATAACGTCTGGAGGCCCAAGGTTGGAGACCACTGATCTAGAGGGCCAACCGCTTCTCTGGCAGGTTTCCTGCTTCTAACATATTTGAAGAAGCTTTTATTATTCCCCTTTATATTGCTGGCCATACGTTCCTCAATGTTTTTCTCTGCCTTCCATATCATCTTCTCTTTTGCCACGGTTTGTGTTCCTTTTTATCTTCCTCCTTTGGGAAGGATTTCCATTTACGGAAGGATCCCTCCTTGCCCTTTAAAGTCTCTCTAACTCTGCTCATTAACCATGCTGGCACCCTCTTGGAATTAGTTGAGCCTTTCTTTCTACACTTCAGACTCTACTACCATTGTTTTAAACAGACTCTGTGCACTTTGGAGAGATTGGATTCTTTTTACCTTCCCTTTCAACTTCTTTCTAACTAGTTTCCTCATCTGCCCTTCGGAAACCAAGGATATTTGTGTCAGATTTGCTTGACACTCTCCCCCCAACATGCATGGCGAAAGAGATCGCAGCATGGTCACTATTTCCTAGCAGCTCAGTGACATTCATGTTCATAACCAGGTCCAGAGTACCACACAATATTAAATCCAGAGTCACCGTGTCCTCTGATGGGCTTCATGACAAGCTGCTCCAAGGCAGTCATTCAGCAAGTCAAGAAAGTCAATCTCTCTTTCTTGACCCAAGCACACATTGACCCAGTCAGTATGAGGATAATTGAAGTCCCCCATGGTTACAATCCTGTACCACATGGACACCTACCTCCCTGATCTGTCACCTCATTTCAAGGTCCCTCTCAAGTTTTTGATCTGGAGGATGATACCTCCCACACACACACACACACATAATCACATCGCTCCTTGGGCCTAGTAGTTTAACCCAGAGTGATTCTATGACGGAGTCAGACCCACCGACCATCTCCATTCTATTAGATTCGACCTCTTCTTTGACATAGATGGCCGCCAACACGCTCCTCCCTATCCCTCCTATAAAGTTTATAGCCTGAGATTGCGATATCTCACTGGTTCTCTGAATTACACCAGGTTTCTGTTATTATCAATGCTATCCCTAGCCACCAACTATTCCAGCTCTCCCATCTTTCCTCAGACGCCTTGGGTATTTGCATAAAAGCACCTGCACATGTGGTCCCCTTCAGAAGGGTTGTTTTTTTGTTTCTTTTTTTCCACAGCTTCTCCTTCTAGTGGACCAAATTACGTCCCATCACACTCCAAGTCATAAATCCTACACTTTGTGGTTCTCTACCCTTTCCACCCTCATTCTACAGGAATGAGGAGTCTGGAACTGGATGCTGCTCGGCTCCTGTCAGCTTTCCCCCAGGATTCAGTTTAAAAGTTGCTCTGCCATCTTTTTAATGTTATGTGACAGCAGTCTGGTTCTGTGTTCGTTCAAGTGAAGCCTGTCCCTTGGTTGTTGTGGGTTTTTCAGGCTCTTTGGCTGTGTTCTGAAGGTTGTTCTTCCTAACGTTTCGCCAGTCTTCCTGGCCGGCATCTTCAGAGGACAGCACTGTCCCTCTTCTACAGGCCCGGCTTGTCCCAAAACATTCCCCAGTGCCTAATGAATCTAAAACCCACCCCCTAACACCACCGTCTCATCCACACGTTGAGACCCCTGAGCTCCACTTGCCAAGCTGGCCCTGCGCGTGGAACAATTAGCATTTCTGAGAACGCTACCTTTGAGGTCCTGGCTTTGAGATTCCTCCCTAACAACTTAAATTTGGCCTCCAAGAACTCACAGCTACATTTCCCCACATTGTTCGTGCCGACATACACCACTACTACCTCATCCCCAGCACTCTCTACCAGCCTCTCCAGATGAGACGTGATGTCCGCAACCTTTGCACCAGGCAGGCAAGTCACTGTCCATTCCTCACAACCATCACAGACCCCTCACTCTATGTTCCTGACAATCAAACTGCCCACTACCAGAAGCCCCCTTCCCCCCTCTCCACAAGGAGTATTCTCAGTGCAACTGGATATGGGCCCATCACCTGTAGAAAATGTCCCCTCTAGGGGATGGTTTCCCTCTTGTCCAGATTGGCATCCTCCAAGCTGGAAAATTCCAATCCCAGCAGCTGAGGAGCTGCTTGTCTGTGGGTGGGACAATGCCTGAAGGTCCCTCAAAGTCTCACCGTGGTCCCTTGCTCCCTGTCTCTGCTTCTCCTGGTAAGCAACCAAGATCTCAAGGGAGCAAACCTGTTTCTTGAGTTCTTGGATCTCCTTGCAATGAGGACATACCCATGACTTTTGCCCAAAAGGCATGTAGTCATACATATGACACTTGGTGCAAAACACAGGAGAGCCACCAACCCACTGCTGTCTGTCTGACTATATGCTGATATTTGTTTAGAACTTGCCATACCTCTTCTTAGGGGAAGTGACAGGCAGTAGGCCCTGGCTTCCTCGCCCTGCAGCTAAACAAGCTGTGTCTTCTTACCCTTCACACAAACATAAAATTTCTTCACTTAGTCTTTAATAATATGGTAGTACAGAGTTTATGTCTCAGTATCTTGACTTGCTGATTTGCCTCACCAATCATCTGCAGACACAAGGAACTGAAGATT